TCAGTGTCAGTGGGTTTAGTTGATTGACTACAAAGAATTGGAATTAGATTTCCTGAGTTGGACCGTCTAACTGCTGTCCTTCTGTTATATTTGTGTTTATTCAAATTAAAACACATTTCTGAGCCGGTGCGAGGAACACACACAGTCTCTATTGGTTTAAAAAGTGAACTCTGTTTTACTTTGTTAAGTTCCAGATGCATGACTGAGTAAGTGCCGTTCAGTGGCAGGACTGGTATTACACTGCCAGACGGACAGGGGTCAGTGTTTGCACCACAGTACTCACCCGGTGCTGGAGTGGAGGAGGAAGGTGGTAGTGGGGGCCGAGGGGCCTCGGATGTAAACAGTCACGCCCCCCTCGGGGAGCACTGAACAACATGGCGTAAAAAGTCCATCAATAAACTTTAGCTTTAATAAGCAAACAGCTTCAACATAAGGCAGATGAGTAGAAATATACAATTGAACAAGTCATTTCTGGGCCACTCCACATTAAACACTGTCACAACCATATGTTTACAACAATAAACATTAAGATTTTTTTTTTTTTTTTTTTTTTTTTTTTTATACTGAAAGTGTCTAAACATTCTTGACGAAGTATACTATTTTTCCGAACCAAAACTTGAAAGGCCTGTGACTTTCTATTGCTCTCATTGGGCCTCATTCACGAACCGTTTTTAAGAACAAATTTGTACGTAAATCCTACTTCCGAGGATTTTACTCTTAAGCACGTTCAGTGCCAACATGTTCACACGCTGGTGTTGTCTTCTTTTGTGAAGTTCAATAAAATACAAGATTACAGCGATATATCCGTCAAATTGATGTATGTATTTATTTCATTTTTTATGTTAATTTAGCCTATTTTTAATTCATTTTTAAATGAAATGTGCCAACGCTTAATAAAATACATTAGAAATCATGCCGTGTATTAGTGACCCCTTCCTATTTATAGGGGGCATTTCTCCATCCACGGGCCACAAAACAACGGCATATATACTGCTGCTGCAGGAGGTTGCGGAGTCCGCGCTGACCCTCTGCGCTGGTCTCTCCCATGGATCCATACGGGTCCGCGCTGGTCCCTCCCATGGATCCATACGGGTCCGCGCTGGTCTCTCCAGTATATGGTCCCTCTAGTCTACAGTCTCTCCTCGTTCCGCGCTGGTATCTGTGTGCTGGTCTTTCCAGTCTATGGTCTCTCCTCGGGTCTGCATTGGTCTCAGAGCTATAATCTCAGCGCAGGATCTCCTCCCAGGATCCAAAATATTTTTAGATTAATCTCATAACAGTTTGAGATTCATTTTTAAATTAATACATACTTTTTTTTTAAATTAATCTCATAACATTTTGAGATTAATCTCATGATTTTGCTAGTTTAACTTTATTCTAACAATATATCGACTTTAAAGTTAACATTTTATTCTCTGGCAAAAGAAGAAAAAAGGGTGACTCTTCTTGGCTTAATGTTGCTGTTTCCTCTGGCGTTCCCTTTTTTGGGCATTAAGGTATGCTAAGTACCTATGCTAATGACTCACCTGGCACGCGCACTCAACTTACGAGGAGTTGGCATTCATCATTGAACATTGCTAGAATTAAGGGCATAATGTCTAAAGCAGACTTGGAGATTCTCATCCATGCCTTTGTTTCTAGTAGACTACTGCAATGGGCTTCTCTCTGTTCTGTCTAAAAGAGCTGTAAAACAGCTGCAGTTTATTCAAAATGCTGCAGCTCGAGTCCTGACAGGAACTAGGAAGTACGACCACATTAGCCCAGTTCTCAGGTCTCTTCACTGGCTTCCTGTAGCTCAGAGAATAGATTTTAAATCAGCTCTCCTTGTATATACAGTGCCTTGCGAAAGTGTTCGGCCCCCTTGAACCTTTCAACATTTCGCCACATTTCAGGCTTCAAACATAAAGATGTAACATTTAAATTTTTTGTCATGAATCAACAAGTGGGACACAAACTTTTTGGCCACAATGCAAAACGATATGTTTGGCGTAAAAGCAACACAGCTCATCACCCTGAACACACCATCCCCACTGTCAAACATGGTGGTGGCAGCATCATGGTTTGGGCCTGCTTTTCTTCAGCAGGGACAGGGAAGATGGCTAAAATTTATGGGAAGATTGGATGGAGCCAAATACAAGACCATTCTGGAAGAAAACCTGTTGAGTCTGCAAAAGACCTGAGACTGGGACGGAGATTTATCTTCCAACAGGACAATGATCCAAAACATAAAGCCAAATCTACAATGGAATGGTTCACAAATAGACGTATCCAGGTGTTAGAATGGCCAAGTCAAAGTCCAGACCTGAATCCAATCGTGAATCTGTGGAAAGAGCTGAAGACTGCTGTTCACAAACGCTCTCCATCCAACCTCACTGAGCTCGAGCTGTTTTGCAAGGAAGAATGGGCAAGAATTCCAGTCTCTCGATGTGCAAAACTGATAGAGACCCAAGCGACTCGCAGCTGTAATTGCAGCAAAAGGTGGCGCTACAAAGTATAAGCGCAAGGGGGCCGAATAATATTGCACGCCCCACTTTTCAGTTTTTTATTTGTTAAAAAAGTTTAAATTTTCCAATAAATTTCGTTCCGCTTCACGATTGTGTCCCACTTGTTGTTGATTCTTGTCATTTTGAGAAACCCTCCTACGCTATGCCTCCCCCTATGCTCTCCATTCTTTGAGCCATCTAGTTTTAGTAGCGACCTGATACGAATGCAAACATTAGAATTAGCCCAAACTTCTTGTAAGTTGTACAACAATCACTGATGAAATGGTACGCACGCATCATGGCAACGCACTGCTAACAAATTATACAATACAATAACTGAAAGATTACCGCCAGTTTTGCATCCAAGGCGGTTCTACTCCCGCAGGTCTCTCTAGCGAAGATACGATGTAAGCCACACCCGGGCTTGATTTCTTTTATAATTTTTTTGCTTTAGCTCCCTCTTCTCCTCCTCACTTTTGCGACAGCACCACCCCTCGTTGTGCGAGTGGAGAACTAGCATCACGCAAAGTTTCTACTCAGCACTTTGCATGGCCTGAATTAATAGACGAGCTGAATCAATGAGCTCAAGTTTTCAATTAAATTATGTATTTTAATACAACTTTTATGTAGTAATATGCATTTTCATGAACTCATTAGAAAATAAATCAGGTAAATCTTAAAGTTCCTTTAAGAATGTTTAAAGGCAATTTAATTCACTCAGAAAAAAGCTATATGAAGACTAGTGAAGGCCATACTTTTCGCTTTTCTATAAAAAAAAAAAAATCGCAGGTTTGAGAATTTCTGATCACTATCAAATAATGATCTGGGAAAACATTGCCAGCAGAAACTGGAGCAAAGAGACTGGAGCAGGACAAAAAAAGTATTCTTCATAGTATAGTCTTCATGGCACCCTGGAACAATTGGTTTAACCCACCTTGCTGTTTTCTAATACATTCAACAAAAATATAAACGCAACACTTTAGTTTTTGCTCCCATTTTCCATGAGATGGACTCAAATGTCTATTCATTTTGGATACACAATTTTACCATTTCTCTCTAACATTGTTCACAAATCTGTCCAAATGTGTGATAGTAAGCACTTCTGCTTTGCTGAGATAATCCATCCCACCTCACAGGTGTGCCACAACAAGATGCTGATCGGACATGATTAGTGCACAGACTGCGCACAATAAAAGGCCACCCTGAAATGTGCAGTTCTGTCTCACAGCAAAATGCCACAAGGATTGAGGAAGCGTGCAATTGGCATGCTGACAGCAGGAATGTCAACCAGATCTGTTGCTCGTGCATTGAATGTTCATTTCTCTACAATAAGTCGTCTCTAAAGGCGTTTCAGAAAATATGGCAGTACATCCAACCAGCCTCACAACCGCAAACCATGTGTAACCACCCCAGCCCAGGACCTCCACATCCAGCAGGTTCACCTCCAAGATCGTCTGAGACCAGTCATTGAGAGAGCTGCTGAAAGAATTGGTTTGCATAACCGAACAATTTCTGCACAAACTGTCTGAAAAAACTTTCAGGGAAGCTCAACTGCATGCTCGTCGTCCTCATTGGGGTCTTGACCTGACTCTAGCTAGTCACCATAACAGACTTGAGTGGGCAAATGCTCACATTCGATGGCGTCTGGCACGTTGGAGAGGTGTTTTCTTCACGGATGAATCTCGGTTTGCATTGTTCATGGCAGATGCCGGACGGCGTGTGTGTCGTTGTGTGGGTGAGCGCTTTGCTGATGTCAATGTTGTGAATCGAGTGGCCCATGGTGGTGGCATTTTACACAGGTGCATTTTATTGATGGCATTGTTAATGCACAGAGATACCCTGATGAGATCCTGAGGCCCATTGTTGTGCGATATATCGATGAACATCACCTCATGTTTCAGCAAGATAATGCACGGCCCCATGTTGCAAGGATTTGTACACAATTCTTGGACGCTGAAAATGTCCCAGTTCTTGCATGGCCAGCATACTCACCGGACAAGTCACCCAGTGAGCATGTTTGGGTTGTGCTTGCCCGGTGTATACAACAGCGTGCACTAGTTCCCACTGATATCCAGCAACTTTGCACAGCCATTGAAGAGGAGTGGACCAACATTCCACAGGCCTCAATTGACAATCTGATAAACTCTATGCGAAGAAGATGAGTTGCACTGCATGAGGAAAGTCATGTCAGATCAGCATCTTGATGTGGCACACCTATGAGGTGGGATGGATTATCTCAGCAAAGCAGAAGTGCTCACTATCACACATTTAGATTTGTGAAGAATGAGAGAAATGGTCATATTGTTTATCTGGAATGAATTTGAGATCTTTTAAGTCTATCTCATGGAAAATGAGAGCAAAAACAAAAGTGTTGCGTTTATATTTTTGTTGAGTATAAGATGAAGACTTGATTAATGAAAACAAATTTCATGAAACGTAAAAGTTGGGTAGCTTATCCCTGCTTTAAGACTGCAGTTTCATCAAATATTATCAGTTCAAAGTCTGCGTGTGCTTCAGGCTCAGCTGGTGAAGGACAGAAACTCCATGTTGCGCCTCACGAGTATCGGCTCCGATGACGACGACGAGCCGGACGGAAGCGACCGTGACCGTGCAGCATCAGCGGGGGGCAGCACTGAGCACCACCGGAGAGTGCAGATGACCTGGACCAAAGAGAAGTCGTCCCACTTCAGAGCCGCGCACTCGGGATGCTCCACGCCAGAGGGCTTCAGGGACATGCTCAGTATCAGGCCGTGAGTAACATTTTAGCTCCTTCCATGCTTATAGTCGTGCATGAAAGTTTGTACACCGAGCCACAGATTCCATCGTTTTGAAGATTATGAAGGGACTTTGCTCATTGTTAGTGGTTTAAAACCACTAACTGATTCAGTGACTAAACCACATGCTCCTCAGCATATCAAGGAAAGATTCAAAATCAGGTTAATCTTTCAGAAAACAAATGCGTAAAAACTAGATCTGTTGTATTGCATTTCCTTTTCCATTGGTTTAAATGTATCACATGTTGTTTGTTCCTTTTAAAAACTATTTTCTTCCTCTAATATTTTTGATCTTGGTCCTCTCAGCGACCACTCGAATGTGCGGCGGATGCACACTGCGGTCAAACTGAACGAAGTCATCGTGAATAAGTCCCATGATGCTCGGCTGGTGCTGTTGAACATGCCCGGACCCCCCAGGAACCAGGACGGAGACGAGAATTGTATCCTTCACATCAGTGACCAAAATCGGAACCTAAATGTCAGAATGTTTTTGTAATGTTCAGTCGCTGTGTAAGTAAATGATTTTTACATAATCTTGAGTAAAGAGACAGGATATTATTTTCTCATTTCTAACTTGAAAGAATTCAGAGGATTGACCCCAATGTGTGGCATTGAACCAATAGACTAGGTTTTAGGGTTTTTCCTTGCCGATGCAGGAGGGTCTGTTAGACCAGGGGTTCCCAAAGTTTTTAGCCCGCAACCTCATGATAAATGCGCTGCTCCCCTGCGACCCCCCACCTCAACATTCCTTCCCGTCACATGAAATGAGCACATATTTCCTTGAATCGGAGTAAAGCTACCACTACCGAGCTGCACTCGCAAGCCCAAAAAAGGAGGCTTGTGTATTTTTACTCGCGTAGTGATGCAAGTGATGGGCTTGGTGGGCTCCCCCCTTAGCAGAGGTGGAGGGCATTTCTTGCGGCTCGCCCTCTCTATTCTCCGACCGCGATAAAGAGACCTAACAGCATAAATCGGCCACCCGCTTTTAATGTGCGGATCTCTTTACTGCTGACTCTGAAAAGCCGGGCCTCTTTACCACGGTGTTCTCCGTTGCCCTCTCTCCCTTCCGCAGTCTTCGCACCATCAGCCTGACCTCTGTGACTTTTCTCCCCCTCCGGGTTTTTCTGTTGTGGATATTAACCACGTTTCATTTTAAAGCCGGTATTATTTGTTTGTATCCTCCAAACACCTTTAGCTTTAGTAAACAACAGCATGACACGCTTTGTCGCTGCGCTTGATGTAAGCTGCGTTACTTGATTTTGATTGACACAGCGTCAATGACTGGGACAAAATTACAAACGTAATGAAAAATATATAATTTTTTTTCAGACTTCCTCCAAACAATTTAACAAGTAGTCCTTTTGAATCAAATCAAAATAAATATTTAAGGGATATATATTTGTTCCAGTTTTTTTCCTTTTTTTTTTTCTTTGGAAATCTTCCGACCCCCACTTTGGGAACTACTATGTTAGACTGTTAGTGGTGATGTTCCAGGACACTCTAAGGGTGTATTCAGACCTGCATATTTGCTCCGCTTTAAACGCACCAGGATTCGTTTGGAACTCTGATCCGAAGCTTTTATGCAGGTCTGAATACACACAAACGAATCCTGGTCCGGACCAAAGAACTGAACGAGACCCACTTTTTTATGTGGTCTCGGTCCGCTTCCAAACGAATTCTGGTCCAAGTCGAATCAGGTCTGAATACATCCGGTGTCGATCCAACACAACTCCAAGATACGTGCGCATTTTTTGGGCTTAACAAGCCGCAGACAGAAACTGAGGAATTAGCCATGCAGCTGCTAACTATACTGGTAACAATGCTGGTAACGCTACACAACAACAATGAGCCGTGGGCAGACCTGGAGCAGTGAGGAGACTCTGTGCAACAGGCTTATGGAGTTAAAACTGTTCACAGTATACATTGATGTTAATGGCAGCATCTTCAAATACTTTGCATTATTAAAAGCCTGACACTGTTTGACTCACGTCTCAAAGAGCAATATTCCGCATCATGTAGTGAATTGTGTTCTTTGGTTCCTACCTGATCCTCAGCGTCTGTTTGTCCCGTGGTTATTATAGATCCATGGTTTATCCACAATGCTGAACAGGGCCGTTATTATAATAGATCCATGTGTGGGACAGGACACGGAGCGCACAGACCGTCTCCTTCGGCTTTCTCCTCACGCATTCTCCGACGCTGTTCCAATATTTAAAACAACGTGTTTCGCCTGTGTCATATGAGCTGCTGTTGATGTTGAAGGTGGTTTTGCTCTGGGCGGTACGGTGGCTGAGTGGATAGCACTCTCGCCTCTCAGCAAGAAGGTCCTGGGTTCGAATCCCGGTCGGACCAGGGCCTTTCTGAGTGGAGTTTGCATGTTCTCCCCGTGTCTGCGTAGGTTTCCTCCGGATACTCCGGTTTCCCCTACCACAAAAAATATGTCCAATAGTTCTGGCATGTGCCTCCTGTACTGGCGACCCCGCTCCCATCTCTGTGTGGAGTGAGAGACAAATGCCCAAAATTAATAATTGTAAACCGCTTTGAGACTCAGATCTGCAGTGAAAAGGCGGTATATAAATAAAAACTTACTTGCTCTAAAAAGAGCAAACAGGCAGAGCAGACATGCTGCACATACGAGCCCTCAATGTTTTCTGCCGGTTCCGCGTCTATCCTGCGTGAGCTCTCTCTGTCCAATAGGCGCTCCGATTGTCACACGTGTCAATATGTTTATATAAAAAAGTTCACTTGCAAAAAGGACGGTCTGAATACAAACCGGAGCAAAAGAAAAAAGTTTGGTCCGTTTTTGATTCGGATCAAGCAAGCGGAGCAAAGGACCTTTCATGTCTGAATACACACTAACATTCTACAACATTTATGGACATTTATCAACATTCTTGGACATTGGTCAACTCCCCCTATGGACTAGCCTGGTTGTACCACACCTTAGTACAAATTACATTTCCATTGAAATTCCGAAATAGGACCAATTGTATTCGCTAACACAGGGACCAGACCCAGACGTTACATGCAGTGAAATGATGATTGAGCGGAGTGTACCGGATGGCTATGGCCAGGCTACCTTTATTTTTTGTGTTTTAACACACCACAAACTACTACGGTCTGTAAAGCGGCAGGTTTATAAGAATATAAGTTTTACTTGTTTTAAATCCATGTTGGGTTTTGAAATGTTGAAAAATGCAAATACAGTCCGTTTGTTCCAGTTCTTTTTACACCAGCTGTACGCTCCTGAAATGTCCTTAAGTTTGGCTCAGACATGGAGTTCCTGGAGGTCCTCACGGAGGGACTAGAGCGGGTTCTGTTGGTTCGCGGAGGAGGCAGCGAGGTCATCACCATTTACTCCTGAGAACTCTTCAAAACACTGGACCTAAAGAGACTGCCTGTGCTTGGTAGAAGCTCTCTCCTCTCACCGTGCGTTCGCATAGATGGGTGTCTTTATGTCCTACTCGGCTCCATCCTCCACACTTTGTTCACTTTTTTTTTTTTTTTTTGCTGAATTTTGTAGATTTTTCTTACCTTGACCAGCCCTGGGTCTATTTTCTTCTAAATCACTGCGATGGGTCATTTTGATCCAAGGGAAGCACACTGGTTAAAACGGAAAATCCTGGTCAAATATGTGAAGGAACGTTAAATCAAGCGTCAAAATGGATTATTCAAGGGGTACGAGTGAGGGCAATTTAAAATATCCAATCAATTCGCACGGAGACCGCAAAACAATATTTTGGATTAATTGGGTTAATTTAGTTTAAAAAATTATCTTACAATAATTTTGGTAAAAAATGTATTGATAAATATATACAATAGGTAAAACCATGCCAATTGAAGAGAAATTCTTTCAAAACATTTAGTGGCAACAAAAAGCTCTGACAATTCTTCATAAAGTAACATCATGGACAGACTGACGAGTTTGAAAATGGAGCATTTAGACAGAAGGTGCGGGAGAACCTGTTTGCATCAGAAGGTCCTGATATTAACATAGATGAAAGACAACTGCTGGTCTGTTTTTAATGAGGAACATGGAAATGGAATCATGAATGAAAAATCGTATTTGTTGAATGATTAATCATTGAGTACATGACCCATGTAGTTCGCTGCACTTCACACATGAGTCTGGTACTGAGCCATAGTGGTTGGATTTCAGAAGGCAGGGCCTTGTAAAAAAAATCCATGTATGTGATTGGATAGACCACTTGTCCGTTCTCTTGAATGAAGTCTGCTTTCAACCACTCACATAGAAGCACACGGCTCCCATAGGTTGCCAAATCCCAGCAAGATTTTCCAACCCAAAATCCACGAGAATACCCACAAAAAAAAAAACACTCAGAATGATTTTTTGGCTAAAAACGTAATGTAATCAAAAAATATGCGGGAACCACCAAACCTGGCAACCCTGCTGCATAGTGTGTAAACAGGAACACTGAACCAGTGCTTCAACCAAACTTTACAGGAACATTTGACTCTTAAAACACACATATATCAACATAGAACCATCAACATAGAACCATCAACATCTCGCCTCAAATTGCATTAAAAGTGACATCCGTGCCTTAATTCGATCGTATTTACTCTTTTAAAAAGATTCGCGGACTTTAGGTCCGCCATCTTGGATTCCTCTCGCTGTTGCATGAGAGAAGCTTGAGAAGGCAGTGCAAACCCCGTAACACCGGCAATCCTGATTGGTCGATTAAAAAATAATCTGGGGAAGGCGTTCGCTATGGCGTCGATACCAGACCCATGTGGTTCAGCCAAACGCCTCGGGTGGAGCATGGCGGAACTACAAGGGTCTGGCAGAGCCAGGCTAGTTGAAGTGTACCTATTATGAAAATTACAGACCTCTGTCTTTATTTTAAGTGGGAGAACTTGCACAATTGGTGGCTGAATAAATACTTTTTTGCCCCACTGTAGCTCTATCCACATCCAGGACTATCTGGCACAAATGCCCTGCCCCTTCTGTATGAATAGCTCTGGTTTCAAACGTGTTACACAATGACTCATTACCCATTTCTTCATATTACGCAGAAGTCTCAAAAAATAGAGTTGCACATTTAAAGAGGACATGCATTTATACACACAAAAAAATGTACTGATCACGGACTTTATCTGCATCGATTTCAGACCAAAGACTTAAAGCATGTGACATCTTCTTAAACAAGATAGAACTAATACATTGAACCTAAATATTGTCATATTTACCATTTAATAATATATAACAAAAAATATTTTATTTGTAATTTATTATATTCTCATAAAAGAAAAAAAGCCAGTTTCACTTTTTACCCACGTTTTCATTACTTTCCTCCCACAAGAGCCCAAACACCTGCTCTTGAATCACTTCTAACCTCCTGAACACCAGCTTCTACTTTACCACCAAGAGAAATGTGAGATTTATACACAAATGGAAAGTAAAAGGAAAAATGACCAGTTTTGTGCCATAAATCGCTCCTACCTGGACAAGTATATATGCAAACCTAGCAGTCTCAGTATACATGCAGGCTCAGACCACTCCTGTCTCAGTATACCTCCAGACCAATCCTGTGTCAGTATACATGCAGACAACTCCTGTCTCGTCTCAAACCACTCGAGAAAAATAAATAAAAATCCATAAAAAAATTACTGAATTAAGAACACAATCTTGAATTAAAGTAAATTTAAATGATCTTGGAATTCATGTTTGCAATTTAAGCAAAAGAAAAATGATTTTAAAGGCTCACTGTGTAACTTTTGGTTTGGGGAAGACAGCAACCTCTCTGGATACAACATTCCTTTGTTTAGAAATGTTATGGTATTTATTTATAATAATCCCACAGATCTGTATCGTGCATAACTTGGTCTAAAGGTCAAAGAATTACAATTTGAACATGGATCTATAGAAAAGGCAAGAGATTTTGTACTGTTCCCCAAAACATATTTGGTGAAAACCGTTCCGCACACGACGTCATAGTTTGAGGATTAGTTATAGTCTACCTACATAGAAATTTGACATAAGAAAAGGGGGCCAACACCAGTAAGATCTCCCCTATGGGGAAGTCTTGACTTAATTTTGTCCAATAAGGAAGCTGGGGGGTTTTCAGTCTTCACAAAACAAACTCATTCACTTTAAAAGGCCTATTTTTAGGTAAAGTACTAAAAACACTTTAACATCAAAGCTGTGGTACCTTACTTTTTTCTTTATGAATACATACTGTTTGTACTTAGAGAAATAGTATTGTCAGACCACAACACGTTGTTTCATCTCATTAGATAACATGTTTTAATTTGTTTAAGAGCCCTTTGGGTTGAGAGCTCATCTGCTGAGTTGTCTTCATCTTTACTTTTCTGTCATTCACATTAAGGTCATCTTTTTCAGAGGCCAAAACTACATGTAAACTAGTGACAGAAAGAAACTGTTGTGCAACTGATTATAGGATTTATTTTTGAACTGTTTTTTTTTTTTTTAGTGCTTTAAAAGTTGTATACCCCAGCTTTAAATATACCAACCAGAGCCATAACATTTTCACCAAAACCACATAGTTGCACAGTGCGCCTTTTGTTTTTACCAGGCAGTGAAATTGTTTTTGGAGAGAGGGCTTCTGCATGGGATGGCCATATCTCAAACCTGCTGCTTGTGGCTGCGGCTTGTATTCAGTCTTTCGAGTTTGTGGCTATAACTGTAGAGCTTTTACATTTTTTCCCCCACTTTGACGCTTTCAATGTATTTTTCTACAGTGTTCGCTTGTACATAGAGCTTGGAATTACCCCCAAGTTTGATCTTTTTTTAAAATTACATTATTGTTAAAAAACAGTTCACAAAATCTTGCTTGAAAAAAAATGAGAAATAAAGTGGTTTTGAAAGACTTTGTGCCCTTGTCTTGGTGCCAATCTGTGAAAATTATTGAAGTCAATCTGTAAATACTCATACGTTCCAACATTTCCAATTTCCCCTTGTTTAAAAGCAGTCTCAGTCCTGAGACCTAAAGATATCACATAGGAGACTGTGATATTTGAGAAGTAAAATAAAGTTTATATAATGTACAGAAAGTGTGCAAGAATTATTCACCAAATTTATATAACAAATTAGGTTTAAAGAATATATGCAAATACATGTTTGTTCAAGGCATCACAAAAGAAATCAACTTTATATTTTGTACATGCTCCTTTCGCAGAAAGGTATTTTGATTAATAATAATAATAACATGCACCACGTCTCCTGAAGCCTCAGTGAATGCCACACACTACAGCCGCTTCGGGAGCGAATGTCACCACACGCGGCACCAACACACGCAGTAAAAACTCTGAATGACTCGCACACGCCTCGGAGCTTCCTCCCGTTCCGCACAAACTTGCGCCAGTTTCTTAGGCCCGAGCCCCGAACGGGGAAAGGGCCTATTGTTTTTGCTCGAGAGATGTCAAATTCTGCACTTTGAGCCTTAATTTCACCCCCTGAACATGCATGAAAAGTTGTAAAATTTTGCCCAAACATCAGACCTGCTGAAAAATTTGGGACTCAAAAAATACCAGAACAGCGCCACCCACAACAGCCAATGGGAATTTCAGATGTCAAGTTTTTTGTAGAGCCATGAAATTCGGTACACATGTTCCTCAAGTCAAGATACAACCAAAATGTTATCATGGCTCCGCCCTCTGACAAACAGGAGGCCCATAAATTTCACTGCAAAATGGAAAAATGATCCGCAATCATTTTCATACATGTCGGTTGGAAAGCGACTCCTCCTCGGCCGTATCACCGATTTGCCTCAAAATCGCTCCAGATCATCTCAACACATGTACCTTCAAAATGACCAAAGGGATTATTGATCAGTGAAACGTTGTTTGAGCAGCGGAGCGGCAAAATGTGAGTTTTTTTACCGTTTTTCACAACATTAATTTTGCTCCCGTTTGCACAAACAAAGTCTGATTTGCACGAAACTTGAATCCAATGTTCAACTCCAGGGTTTAGGTCAGGTGAAAGTGAAATATTTGAAATTGGCCCAATAGCGCCCCCTACAGATTGAGGCAAAGTTTTACATGGGGTGCCAAACAGCTCTAATCATCATATTCATTACAATTTGACTCACGTTCTTCTATGGCAACGGCAACAAATCATCACACGGCGGCCCCACCTCCTTTGCCCGGTGCTGCGTGGTACGGTGTGGTGCGGCGTAGTGCGGGGGGTTGTGGAGCGGCGTAGTGCGGGGGGTTGTGGAGCGGCTTGGTGCGGGGCGGCGTGGTGCAGATCCGCTTGGTGCGGGGCGGCTTGGTGCTGGGCGGCTTGGTGCTGGGCGGCTTGGTGCTGGGCGGCTTGGTGCTGGGCGGCTTGGTGCGGGGCGGCTTGGTGCGGGGCGGCTTGGTGCGGGGCGGCTTGGTGCGGGGGTGGGGCGGCTTGGTGCGGGGCGGCTTGGTGCGGGGCGGCTTGGTGCGGGGCGGCTTGGTGCGGGGCGGCTTGGTGCGGGGCGGCTTGGTGCGGGGCGGCTTGGTGCTGGGCGGCTTGGTGCGGAGCGGCTTGGTGCTGGGCGGCTTGGTGCGGAACGGTTTGATGCGGGACGGCTTGGTGCTGGACGGCTTGGTGCTGGGGGGCTTGGTGCTGGGGGGCTTGGTGCGGAGTTGTGCGCGCGGTGCGGCGAGGGCCGTTTGACGCCGCTTGCGGCTTTAATTTCATGTTGTTTTCTTTCATTGTGGCGCGGCTTTGCCCTACAGCCGCTTCACCAACAACTATCGTAATGCATCATGGGATCACCCTCGCTCGCAAGTGAGCTCCGGACCTCACTTGCGCATGAGGGTGGTTTTTAAGGGTGTGAGGGCCCTCGCTGTTATATTATTTCTCTTTAGTATAAATCGAGGCACAACGTGTCGGGTGTAGCCATCTTGGTTTATTGTATAACAGTGCCCTCTAGTGATCAACACAATACACAGCATATCCTGACATCAACCTCTTTTTTTTCTGAAGAAAAAACAAACCTTTGATTCATAACAAAAACAATGCCAAGCCCTAGACTTTTACCCAAAATGCTATACTTTTACATATTTCAAACATTTCAAAACTTTTCTCCCATATTTGTTTAAACTTCACAACAAATGAACATGTGGTTATGGACAATGAACTACTCCTCAACTAGTCTGCTGGGCTGATTTACCACACGACCACTAGCTGTTCTAGGAGTAAGCTGTTCTGAAATAATACTTGCATTACTGTTTGCTGTTACAGGTTCTGCATCCCTGTCATTCCGCCTGTGTGATTCAACATCTAACATTTTGTTCTATCACATCTTCCTGATGCTACTTTGACAACATCAATTTCTATTTCTATTTCTTCTGTACAGCTGTCCATCTGGTGTCTGTAATACATAAGATCTTGGGTGATCAGACATTCCAGTGACCTGTGGCGGACGCCATGTTCCATTCTGCTGGATTCTCACAGGGTTTCCCAACTGCAGTTTTTGAAGGGGTTTTGATCCTTTGTCAAAGTAGTCTTTTTGTTTTTTCTGTCTCTCTTTCAGCATCTGCTGGACACCACTTGTGACTGTTTTTGGTTCAAGCATGTGCGAAGACATTGGAAGCTTGGTCCTCAAACGGCGTCCCATTAATAGTTGCGCTGGTGATTTTCCAAGGTCCTCCAATAGTGTACTCCGCAGATTGAGCAGGGACAAGTAGGGATCCTGTCCCTTAGCTTTAGCCTTTTTTAGTAGTAGTTTGACAGTTTGTACTCCTCTTTCTGCCATTCCATTAGACTGTGCGTGGTAGGGACTCGACGTTTTGTGAGTGAAACTCTAGTCTTTTGCAAACGCCTGAAACTCCTTAGAGCTAAACTGGGGTCCGTTATCGGAAACCACAGTTTTGGGAATGCCATTGCGAGCAAACTGGGATTTCAGATGGGTGATTACAGTAGCGCTTCTGGTGTCTGATTTGCTTTACTTCGATTAACTTTGAATAGTAGTCTACAAGTAGTAAATATTCCTGTTGCTCAAACGCGAATAAGTCAATGCCTATCTTTTGCCACGGTCGTTCTGGAACACTGTGTGGGTGCAGCGGCTCTTTACTTTGTTGTTTTTGGTACGTACAGCACAACTGTTCACCAGCTCTGTAAATACTCTGACATACCTGGCCAAAAAAGCACTTCTCTTGCCCTACGTCTGCAGCTTTCAATACCCAAGTGTCCCTCATGAATAAGTTTTAACATTTCTCCTCTTAAGGATGCTGGAACTACAAGCCGCTCTACTTTAAATAGGATTCCCTCAACTACTGATAATTCTTCTCTGTAGTTCCAATATGCTTGTATTGGAACTACTCATTAGCAACCGTTGTATTCTTGCCGGTGCACTGCTCAGAGGTTTTTTCATTATAGCTTCCAGGGGTTTGTGATCTGACCCTGCCATAAACTAACAAAGTAAAGGACAGTGAATCTAATCAAGAATTAAACTGTCTCGGTGCTAGCCTCATTTCCGTGTGCCTTTGAACGCATCTGGGCGCTAGCTTCGTGGCCACTAAAAGTATTTTTTTCTCTGAGCTCTTCTTCTGCCATTTCTTGTAATAAACCTTGATACATATGTGCACAAATCAAGAATATAAGCTGTATATAACAACACAAACTGTTTACATGTTTATGTACACTTTTTGACATGCGCAAACTGAACTTCCGGACAAATCCGGTTTCCGGGACGAATCCGGCAGACACAGTGAGGACTGCACCTTAGCCGGGTTGCTAGCTCCTTCGGTAGCGGCTAAATACAGTTCAAACCTTTGTCGGAACGGTCTCCAGTTTTCAGAGAGATTTCCACGCTGCAGCCCAAGTTCAGCTGGTGGCTTTAGTCCTGCCATTGTTGCCTCCTTGCAAACAGGTCCTTTGTTTTAACTTCTGACACCATGTTTTATTATTTCTCTTGAGTATGAATCGAGGCACAACGTGTCGGGTGTAGCCATCTTGGTTTATTGTATAACAGTGCCCTTTAGTGATCAACGCAATACGCGGCCTATCCTAACACTCGCCTCTTCATCCTAAGTATTAAGACACCCCCCGCGGGCATACGCAAAATCTAGGGCAAGGGTGAGAATTGGGACGGGGCCTAAATAAAGCAGTGAGCTGATGTGAACCAGGACTGAGCAAGGACTGAACCAGGACTGAGCAAGTACTGAACCAGCCAGCGCTGAACCTGAACCAGGATTAACCAGTTTACCCCAAGTTTAACAATCCCTTCAATTATTAGACTCTAATTGATATATAATAATTGAATTTGAGATTAAATCCTAATCCTTTCTCTTTGTTTTACTATATATATATTTGGAGAAAGTAACTTAAAAGAAATTCTGTAGTGTAATGCATTACAATTCAGATACAGTAATATTATAGTTTAATACATTCTTTTGAAGTAGCAGTAATAAGTGAAACATAATGTATTACGTTTTTGAAGTATCTTGCCCAACACTGATTTACAGCGGGTGGCCCCTTTTGGCTGTTTCTTGCGTGAAAGTGGAAAGAAGCTGTGAAGATGAGCCGCCAAAATGCACATTTTAAACTTAATTGTTTTTAATCTAAAAGAGGTTTGTGACTACTTTCACTGCACAGTTGTTTGCTTTGATGTCCTCCACAAGTTTGCAAGGGGCGCCTGATTACCTTGGGCCGGCCCTGCAGTCAGGTTTGATGGGTTCCGAGCATGGACAGATCACACACATGCAATCACATTGCAAATTTTCAATAATATTCAGGTCTGGGGACTGAGATAGTTATTCAGAAGGTTGTACTTATTCCGCTGCTTAAATGCCTTTGCAGGTTTTGATCAGTGTTTAGGGTGGTCTTGTTGAAAGATCGAGCCCTGGTGCAAATTTAACGTTGTCAATAATTCCTGGACATTGTTCACCAGAATTAGAATGATATTGAGTTGAATCCATGGGCCCCTCAAGCCTCAACTATATCAAGATTCCCAGTACCCGCACTGGGCATGATGGAACCACCACTAAATTAATAATAATAATATTTTATTTAAAAGCGCCTTTTTAGACACCCAAGGACACTGTACAGGACATAATAAAAAAACAGGATCCACAGAATAAAACGGTCAAGTGCAATACGGAATGGTGGGTGCGTGTGTGTTAGGTGGGGTAGGACAGTCTGAACAGATGGGTTTTGAGTCTGGAAGAGAGTCAATGGTACGGAGGTCAGGGGGGAGAGAGTTCCAGAGCTTGGGGGCAGAGTGGCTGAAGGCTCTGTGTCCCATGGTGATGAGTCTGGCTGGGGGGACGGAGAGTGTGAGAGTGGAGGAGGAGCGGAGTGTGCGGGCAGGAGTGGCAGGATGGAGGTCGTCAGATAAGTACGGAGGGGCCAGGTTGTGAAGTGCTTTGAAAGTGGTGAGTATTTTGAAATTGATTCGTTGTTTAACAGGAAGCCAGTGGAGTTGTCGGAGTACGGGGGTGATGTGGTGAGCTGTGGGGGTCCGGGTGATGATTGAGTTTTTGAGGAGCTGCAGTTTCTGGAGGGATTTGTTGGGGAGGCCAAAGAGAAGAGAGTTGCAATAGTCAATCCTTGAGGTGACGAGGATGGCGGTGGTGTGGGGGGTGAGAGAGGGGCGGAGACGAGAGATATTGCGCAGGTGGAAGTAGGCAGACAGAGTGATGTTATTGATGTGAGATTGGAAGGAGAGTGAACTGTCGAGGATGACACCCAGACTCTTGACCTGACATGAGGGGAGGACAGATGTGTTATGGATGGAGACAGAGAAGCTGTTAGATTTGGAGAGAGTGGAGGGGGTGCCTACGAGAAGGACTTCAGTTTTAGAGCTGTTGAGCTTGAGGAAGTTAGATGAGAATCAGGAATGAATTTCTTGTAGACAGAGGGTGAAGGAGGATGGAGGAAGAGAGGAAGATGATTTAGTGGAGAGGTAGAGCTGGGTGTCATCCACGTAACAGTGGAAGTGAATGTTGTGACGGCAGAGGATGTGACCGAGTGGGAGAATATAGATGAAGAGGAGGGGCCCCGCACACCGGCAGAGACGGTGCTGGATTTGTGGGATTTGAGATGGATGTATTGTGAGCGACCAGAGAGATAGGAGGTGAACCAGGCGAAGGGGGTGTGGGTGATGCCGATGGAGGATAGTCTGTTAAGGAGAGTCGAGTGAGAAATGGTGTCAAAAGCTGCAGTGAGGTCAGGAAGGATGAGGATGGAGAGTAAACCGGAGTCAGAGGCTATGAGGTCGTCGTTGGTGAATTTTATCAGTGCTGTTTCGGTGCTGTGGAGGGGACGAAAACCAGATTGAAATTGTTCATAGATGTTGTCAGTGGTGAGGTGGTTGTAGAGTTGAGCAGCGACAGATTTTTCAAGTATTTTGGAGATGAAGGGAAGGTTTGAGATGGGACGGAGGTTCTTGAAGTTGGTGGGATCCAGGCCAGGTTTTTTGAGAATGGGTGAGACTGAGGCTGTTTTGAATGAGAGAGGGACAGTACTAGAAGTGAGAGAAGAATGAATGATATTAGTGATGAGGGGGGCAACTGAGGGGAGGCAGGATTTGACAAGAACTGTAGGGAGAGGGTCGAGCTAAGAGGTGGATGAATCGGAGATGGCTTGGACGGAGGGCAAGATGAAGCTGGAGAATGTGGCTATGAGGGATGAGTGGGGGGCTGGGGAGTCCACTCCAGAGACTGCAGCTTCATGTCGGGTCAGGTATTGGTGAATGTCAGAGATCTTGGAGGTAAAGAAGGACATGAGTGAGTTACAGAAGTCAGTGGATTGCATATGGTGGGGGAGGGAGTCGGGGGGTTTGGAAATGTTGGTGAGGAGAGAGAAGAGAGTTTTGGGGTTGTGATGATTGGAGTGAATTAAACCGGAGCAATAGGTGGATTTGGCAGCAGAGAGATGGTCCTTGGTATAGCATGATATGGTTATTGTACATTTGCTTGTGAATGGTGAGTCTCGTTTTATTGAAGAGCCGTTCAAGTTGACGTCCTTGGGATTTGAGCTGACGGAGGGCAGGGGTGAACCAGGGTGCAGAGAGCGTGAAGGGGTTTTGAGAGTGATTGTTCAGGAGGTTATGGAGAGAAGTGTTGTAGTGGGAGACCAGGTCATCAGGTGAGCTATTGGGTAGAGTATTCGAAGGAGGAGAAGACAGGGACAGCAGGCACAGGAGTGACTTTCAAAGTCTCGCAAGACCTCCGCCCCGGCCGCAGGTGCGGGGCTGGCAGATGTAAACAAACCCCGGTGGTTTCAACGCGGCAAAGTCATTTGGCTGCTGCCAGGTTTCGGTCAGGCACTTTTTTTCATCATACGCTTCAATTGTGAGAGACAGAATATGGAAAAAAAAGTCCAGGAATTCACATTGTAGGATTTTTAAAGAATTTATTTGTAAATTATGGTGGAAAATAAGTATTTGGTCACTTCAAACAAGGAAGATCTCTGGCTCTCACAGACCTGTAACTTCTTCTTTAAGAAGTTCTTCTGTCCTCCACTCGTTACCTGTATTAATGGCACCTGTTTGAACTCGTTATCTGTATAAAAGACACCTGTCCACAGCCTCAAACAGTCAGACTCCAAACTCCACTATGGCCAAGACCAGAGAGCTGTCGAAGGACACCAGGAAAAGAATTGTAGACCTGCACCAGACTGGGAAGAGTGAATCTACAATAGGCAAGCAGCTTGGTGTGAACAAATCTACTGTGGGAGCAATTACGGACCACTGATAATCTCCCTCGATCTGGGGCTCCACGCAAGATCTCATCCCGTGGGAGTCAAAATTATCATGAGAACGGTGATCAAAAATCCCAGAGAGCACATGGATGATACAGCAGAGGATTGGGAGAATGTCATGTGGTCAGATGAAACCAAAGTAGAACTGTTTGGTATAAACTCAACTCGTCGTGTTTGGAGGAAGAAGAATACTTCTTGCATCCCAAGAACACCATACCTACTGTGAAGCATGGGGGTGGAAACGTCATGCTTTGGGGCTGTTTTTCTGCTAAGGGGACAGGACGACTGATCCGTATTAAGGAAAGAATGAATGGGGCCATGTATTGTGAGATTTTGAGCCAAAACCTCCTTCCATCAGTGAGCGCTTTGAAGATGAGACGTGGCTGGGTCTTCCAGCATGACAATGATCCCAAACACATCGCCCAGGCAACGAAGGAGTGGCTCCGTAAGAAGCATTTGAAAGTCCTGGAGTGGCCTAGCCAATCTCCAGACCTCAACCCCATTGAATATCTGAGGAGGGAGTTGAAAGTCTGTGGCGACAGCCCCAAAACTTCACTGCTCTCAAGAAGATCTGCATGGAGGAATGGGCCAAAATACCAGCTATAGTAGACCTATAGTAATCATTTGACCTCTGTTATTGCCAACAAAGGTTATATTACAAAGTATTGAGTTTAATTTTTGTTATTGACCAAATACTTATTTTCCACCGTAATTTACAAATAAATTCTTTAAAAATCCTACAATGTGAATTCCTGGATTTTTTTTTTCACATTCTGTCTCTCACAGTTGAAGTGTACCTATGATGAAAATTACAGACCTGTCATTATTTGAAGTGGGAGAACTTGCACAATCTGTGGCTGACTAAATACTTTTTTGCCCCACTGTATATGTATTGTAAATAAAAGCTGCCATATGGCTGTTTGACCCACACTGACTGTCTGGCTTTGTTATTGAAGCTCACCTGCATTCTACAACACTTTCAAGTGTTACACTTGTATAGCCCTAAATCACAACAGCAGTCATCTCAGAGGACCATTGAAATCACCAACACAGGTCAGAGAATCAACAGTTAAGACACAAAAAAGAATATAGAACACATGTTGATAAATGTCCATACATGTTGTAGAATGTTAGTGTCTTGGATCATCACCACATTCCTTTTTGTTAGACACGAACTGTCCATCAGACCCAAGGAAAAAGTCAATAGTTTATGAAACATGCGCAGAAAGGATGTATTTTTTCTAGTGTAGATTCCAAATACGCAAGATCCAACGTGGAATTTATGAACATGTGAGAGCCGCCCAGATCCGAGCATGCGCAACTGCGGCTGTTCATAAATAAATGCCGCGATGAAAACTAGTATTTATGAAAGTCACGCCTATAAATATTCAGAAATAACCCGTTTCACATCCTGTTTTTACAGGTCAGATTCGTCAGGATGGAAGTCGACCAAGAAGACTGTTTGGAAGCCTCTCCTGAGGCTCCTGTTTGAAAATAAATATACGCTATTGTGGTGCAAGGAGCGGAGTCGGAGGCGGTGTGTCAAACAGCGGTGACAAACGTACACGTTTTAATGCCATAAAACAGCCAGTGTTTACAAAAACTAAGTTTTTCCCCTACTGTCTAGACCCACTGCAGCGCTCATCTCTCTTGAACTTTAGGAGTAAATAAATAAATAATGAAATGTTAATATCTCGGCTCTCATCATTAACCGGGTGAAGCGTCTGAGCGATCTCTGTGAGAAAGATGCGTATAAGAAGCTTTTGGAAAGTGTCCGTGTTTTCACAGAGGAACTCTGATCCAAAACGTTTGAATGCGATAGAAAGCATTTTAACCAACTGCATTATGACCTGGTATGGGAACTGTACTGTGGCGGAGCGGGAATCACTACAGCAGGTGGTAAAACAGCCCATTGAGGTTCCACTCTGCCCTCGAGAACATTCAGAGACAGCGCGCTCTGCGGCGGGCTCGTAAGGACTCCACTCATCCTGCACACAGACTCCTTCTGCCCTCTGGTCACCGCTACAGGAGTCTCAGGACAGTTTTTTTTTTCACAGAGCAGTCATTGTTCTTAAACAGTCTAAATAAATAAACAATTTAAAAATAATCCCGCATTTCGTTGATGATATAACAAGTTTCCTACAATGTATACAATTATATTGGCCCATCATCATTTTCCTCCAAGGGAGATGGTATAAGTATCATTTTTAGTATCGTATTTTATTTTGACAGTGTGGTGCAGGATTACTGACGCGTCTTCCCCTCGTGCGCCCCCCGGAAGCCGGTGCCATGTTGATGTTTTGAGGGAAATCATTTTGGGCGAAGTTCAGTTCAGGAAAAAGTGGAATATAAACAAAACGTGTTACAGATTTGGCGCTGAACATGGAGGTAAGAGCAGCCAGCCACTACCACGCCACAACCCATCACCATCAACCGCGGTGAGGAGCTCAAAACTGGGTTCAAACCCGAGCTGTGTCAACAATGGACGCGCGGATTAGCGGCATGACCTGTTTAATCAATGACTTCACTTTTTACTTTATCCCAACTCTTTAATTAGTACACATTGTATACATAAACATTAAGTATTTTCATGAAACGTAAACATTAAATATAAACATTCAAGGACTTGAACATGGATAAATTGGCTGATTTAAAGCTAATATAGCCATTATACTATTTTAACCTATTACTGATTGGCGTATTATTCAAAAGTAAAGACAAATAAATCGAATAAATAGTGGAAGCGGTTAAAAACCAAAATGCTGAGGCTATCAAAACTGGAGCGAGAAGTTTAATAATTACTGCTTTGTGATCGAGCAGCCACTCCAATGTAATATGGTAGGAAGTGAAGTTAATAATTTCTTGTGTTGGTATTTTAAAGTTTTTTTAAACTCGAATGTAACAAACCTCATACATTGCTGTAACACATCTTGCAAGACAAAAAATACAATACGGATTAAAGCTGGGGTAACTAATGTTTTCTTTGGGTAAATAATACATTTTGTTTATGACAATGGAAATGGTCATATATGAACAGATCAGATCACAAGATGCCGTCTCTATCTCGTGTGACTTGAAAGAAGAGCTCTGTGAGCCATTGGGCTGAGAGCTATTTGTCAGACCAAGAGGCTCCTCCTCTTGTTTACCTTTATGTCTGAAAAAGCTGATTTCTAGATATGACAAAGGCCAAAAATGCATGTGAAAACTAGTGACATACATTTATTACTTAGATGAATTGTGTATGATTTGACATAAACATTTTTTTTGAAGTAAATAAAAACAGATCCCTGCAAGTAACTATTACTGTACAAATCCATGCAGGCTATGGTTAAAAAAAAACAGCACCGCTGGTTCTGTTCCTCACAATATTGCTCACGTTAAAGCACATCCATCCATCCATCCATTTTCTTTCCCTTAATCCATTTCTGGGTTAGGGGGGTGGCAGTCAGATCTGCATCCAATCAGAGCACCAGCCATTAAAGCACAATGAGCTGTAATTCTGGCCCCTACAATTTTGGGAAAAATATAGCACTTTTCATACATAACAGCTCTTTGCTTATAGCGTCAAATAGTAGTTCACAGGGTTCTTTATTACAACTCTGCAAAAAATATAATCTATATCAAGATGAAGGACAAAGAAAATATATTAATCCCTGTTTCCACCACCAACTCTACTTGGCCAATTGGGAGGGTGATAACAGGGTGATAACAGGGCCGTTTATTATTCAGGTTCTTATTTAAGTGCTCGTTTTGCCCTGGATCTATCTTGGCCCCAAGGTGGTTCTAAAGTGTTCTAACTGACACTGGATGTCTGTTTAACCAATGCATTCATATTGTATCGCATGTGGCTATTTGTTAGACATTAGACGCCTTTTATTTTGAAGACCCGATTGTTTACACTTCCTGTTGCCTTTGTCGCTTTTTCACTGTTGTGTGTCCTTCGCTTGAACATCATTAAATGATCCACTAAAACCAACCCCAAAACACGAATCATGTATTGAATTACACGCTAGTTTTATCCCCGGCATATTCTCTGCGCACGCGTTTAATGATATCGTGTCGGCCTCCGTGTGGTCCGATGACGTGTTTTTGCTGCGACCGTTTGTCCGTCCGTCGCTCTGGGGGCTGCAGCCTTGCGTCAAAGCGACACCACAGCAGCGAGGAGCGCGAGTATAGCACGAATATAGCAAATAATATACATTTCCTCCCATAGTTAATGAGAAATGCCAAGAACAATGTCTGCGCACAATCTGGATACCACATTATCCATTTAGCTTGCGTCTTGTCAGAGACGTGAAAAGGGATATTTTTGGATCGCACGCCGTTCCGCACGCGCCTGCCAAATAATCGCTTCATGTCGGGGGTGTTTTTTACGCCTCGGATTTAATCTGCAGACGTAATCGTAGTTTTTAAAATATGGATTTGAATTTTTACTCTGATCTCACGGACGGAACGGGGCAGAGCGATGCGGAGTTTTTGGACGTGCACTCGTTCAATGGGTTCGATGCGGACCACAAGGTGACTTCTACACAGCGTGTGAATAAATGGATTGGGGTACATTCGAGTGATTTTGAAGTAGTATGTTGTTGATTTCTTGCGGCTTTCATCATTGCTGCATGCATACGTTGACCACGCACCAACTCCTGTGACTGTCAGTTCAAATAATATATTGACCATGCACGACAGTTTAGACTTATGTGAGCTACTGCGGGAAATCAGAAAATGCAGATTTATAGTCAAATGTGTCAGTGTGAGTTTATTTTTATTGAGGGATTAACCGTTTTAGCTGTTATCTAGCTTTGAGTGCTCTTTTATTTATACGTTATGTAATGTCCCCTGCAATACTGACATGTCCCCTCTGGCAAATACAAGTTCTCTCATATGTTTCTTAATTAAAAGTAATGCATGTAATGAGTTGCGAGTTGGTAGAGCATTGGCTTTTGGGCCTGACGGTTGTGGGTTCGAGCCCACCACAAGACCTAGCTTACTTCACAACTCCCACTGATGTCTGCTGTCGTTGTGTCCTTTGGGCAAGACACTTGACCCCACTTTCCCTGAAGCCTCTGCTGAAAGATCAAGGATCCTGTGGACTCACCACCTGCAGGAGGATCAGTGAGGGGCTGGTGCTCTGTGTACTGGGTGCAGCTCTGACTGCCACCCCCCTACCCAGAAATTGGTTAAGGGGAAGAAAATGCATGGACCTATTTTTAACAATTATTGTTCATAGGTTTTAGTTTCATGCTACATTATGACATTTCAAATGTTTGTGATCTTTTGCTGTTAGTTCTCAATGGGAACTGGATTTAAAGTTGGGGTACCTAACTTAATGTTTCTCAATACATGTTAGTCAACAGCCTTGTAAAAGTGAAATGTTGTGAACAAATCAGACCAAACACTGTATTAATCTTATTAGAAAACATATCTTTTGTGTAAGAAGGAGCCTCATGCGTCAATTTTTTGTCTGAAAAAACTGATCTGAAAAACTAACTGATGTGACAGGTCAAAAATACATGTGAAAACTGATGATAGAACCGAACTGTTTAGAATGGATTATTACAGTTAATTTTTGGGGTTTGAAAGTGAGGTACTCTAGCTTTAACACTCAAATTTCATCAGTTTATTTTATGTGCGCCTTTTTGGAAAACCTGATCAAAACTAAGCGGTAAAAAGTCACTGTTGTGTTCACACCATGTTGATATTTTCTGTTGGTTTTCAGTTTCCCGGGGGCAGTGATAACTACTTGACGATGTCTGGATCTGGACATCCCTTCTTATCCACTGCTGAGGTATGACTGATCATGAAGTCACTCTCATGGCTTTTTAAAAATCTTTTGAAATGGTGACCATTTTGTCTTAGAATATATTCTTGCATTATTCCAGTAAATTTTATAACCAAGCTCATGAAAAACTATGTAAGATGTAAACTGCCACTTGATGTGAAAAAACAGCCACTCCTGTTTTCTATAGTGATATCTATACTTTTATAGCCTGCTCATACCACATCATAGTACAAATTATATTTCGTACTGGGGTCTGGAGGTGCTCCATTGAGGTCCGTTAACAGGTAGGAGGGGTTATTGAAACGATTGGATCTGAGTTTACCGCCACGTATGTAAAGCGTCCGAGTGAGTCGTTAGCGTTTAGCATGTAGCCTAGCCATCTCCTTTGCCGCTAAGGCAGCCCGTGGGGAGTAGCTCCACAATTTTTGCTAGCGATTACATTTGCTAAACATTCCTCTTGCTCCGGCTTCAATTTCTTGATAGAATCAGACCGGATTAATTTACATCGCATTTTTTGCCATTGCCAAAATACAACCTGCCCGTTCGACGCAAACTCTTGACGTCACCCACAACTATCGACAACACCTGCCTCCCGTGCTCGCCGATTGGTCGGATGGAATTAAACCGATTGTAATCGCTAACACAGGGACCAGACCCAGACGTTACATGCAGGGAGAGGATAAATGAGCCGAGTGTACGGATGGCTAAGACCAGGCTAATACTTTTATAGACATTAATGGTAATAATTGACCATGTTATTAGACATTTTTCTCTTGAGCTGCAAAATTTCTGGAAATGTACACGCAAGTTAGTGATCACTGTGAAGTGAAAGCGAAATACAATGTTTTATTTTTAAAATACAAAAGTATTCACACATCCTTTTTCTGAATGCATAAAATTGCCTTTAAAACATTCCTAATGACTGCTAGATTTTCACAACTTCCCCTAAAAATGAAATAGAGGCTATTGGTGTATAATCTACTCTCTGTATAAATACAGCTGTTCTGTGAGTGGGCTCAGAGCTGTGGGCTGAGTGTATTGATCACAGGGCCTGGTTAGTGCTGTGAAGGGAACACCAGGTGCACAGTGGGGCGGCTATAAAGTTTGGGTTCTTGGGCAAGACACTTCACCACATTGCATGAGTGTGAGTACGGTATGTGCATAAATGACAGGTGCTGGTTGGAGGGGTTGATGGCACTGAAAATTATGGACTGAAACTGGTGGTGGACTGACAGAAGCAAGGGAAACCAAAAGCTGCTTGCTTATGTGCTCATGTCCCCCAGCTCGTCTTTGTGCCAGCTGATACTCATGGGCTCTGTTGTGTTGGATTAACTTGAATTGTGCTTGTATTGACTGGACTTACATCTTGGTTTTAGTGCGCCACTAAAACCATAGACCTCTTCGGCCTCGCTGGACCCTCTGGTGGAGTATGAAACATTTCTACATCTCTTATTATAAACTAATCAATCTAACTAATCTGCGTGTCTCATATAAGGTTTTGCTCATTCATTATATTTCTCACAAGCAAACACACATGCTCAATTGTCTTTTTTTATGGTTTAATGATATCTTTCAATTGTCCCAATGGGACTACAGATGAAAATTGTTGAAAACATGGTCGACACAATCTAACGGTTCATTGACATGTACTGTCCTAAATAAATACAATACAAAATATAACATTTCACACATATATCACTAGATTGGAGTATTAAAGTGATATCTGGAAATTGTCAGAAAAAAGAGCGACCCAAGCTCTCTCCCCCTTCCTTTCTGATTGGTCTACGCCTACGTTTCTGTAACAATCAATCAACACATTTAAATGATAAACAGAGAACACAGTATACATATACATTATTAATACACATGCACAGATGTTTTCAGAATTATTTGTTAAAGTTTTCATGACAAAAATAATGTTTTAATGCACAGAAAAAGCGATCGCTAAAAACCCGGAAGTGGCTATTATCATGAATTGAACATTATAGGACACATCTGCAGAGGATCTGATTATGGATATAGGTTCAGTATATAAATGGGTAACGCGGATGTTCGGAGTACTTTGTTCAGTTTTCATGTAGTTTCAGAGCCTAATGGAGGCTTGATTCGGAGGCTCCGTGAAAACAAACAACTGAGCATGCGCGCAGCTACGAGCATGAGCGCTGATGATTGACAGCCCTTGGCATCACTGGATGGCATTGTGGATTTTGAGCTATAGCTAAGAGAAGGGAAGGCGGGACTTCATAAAATGACTTTTATATCAACATTTAAGGCCAGGAGGTCAATTTAATACAATTCTTCAATTTTTTAATTCATTTAGAGTTCCAGACTATCACTTTAATCATTCTGTTCATCTCCTACTCCATTTCTCAATGTAAATCAACTGTCCTCCCTAAAGCTTGGGTACCTAACTTTCAAATCACACAAAAATGTACTATTTCTAATAAAATCCATGTCACTAGTTCCTGGCGCTATCCTCACATCTTCAGCAATAGCATTTGTTGCTATTGCTGTCATGCATACATTATAAGCGAAGTTTTGGCATCTGCAATCATGCAATATCATGTTTACATATCGCATTTTTTGTCATAACATTTGTGAAGCGCATTTAAACGCAGCATGTTTTTTGGGACTGTATGTTCAACTATGTGCCCTGCAGAGAAGCTGCACTAGGCATCAGACATGAAGATATAAGCATGACTGTTCCCTGTGCTCTCAAATGCATCACTGTTGTATTGTTCAATGCTCAACCGCATTAAAATCGGTACCTCACAACGGACTGGTTTTTCACTCAATTGGCACGTCCTTTTTTTACAATGGGTTTTTGAAGTATAGGTGGTTTTGGAAACTCACTCCATGATCAAAATGAGTCGCTTTTATTTGTCCAGATATGTACATTTCTAATGGTAGTATGGCTCTTAAGAGCCCTGTGCTCTTAAATGCATCTGGTGTTCTAAGTAGCCTCTAGTTTACGTGGTTATATATATATTCAATCAGAACTCGCAGCTCAATCAACTACTAGGTTGAAGTGATTGTAAATGTAAATGTGCACTGTATTTGTCCCCGTAGGGAACTTTGTCCTCTACATTTGACCAGTCCTGGAATGCCACTTGGGCCTCTGTCAGGGGCAGTGGTCGTTGTAGTACAGCGCCAAGGAAGATTACTACTCCAATTTAATAAAATAGGAGTAGTAAAGTGATTTTCTATTTACTCTCCTCCCTTATAAACACAAATGTTTACTATGTTTTCTGATTTGTTCACAACATTTTAGATTTCCAAGACTTTCTGTTGCTACAAAGACATGTATTATTATGAAACTAAATGTTCGGTACCCTAGCTTTAAATTATTGTGGACTTTTTTGTTTCTTCCCCCAGACCTTTCTTTCTCTAGTCACGTTTTACAACTCCACTCCTCTTTGCCCTCAACATCTTCTTTGCTTTCTCCTCAGACCTTTCACACCCCCAGTCTGGGCGATGAGGAGTTTGAGATCCCTCCTATCTCCCTGGATCCGGACTCTGCACTGGTGTCGCACTTCGGTGGGCTGAGCGACCCAGGGGCTTCGGAGGGCACTGTGGAGGGGTCTGTTGTGGAGGGCGATGACCCCACTTTCGCCTCCACGTACGGCTCCGCTCAGGGACTAGATCACCTGAATCTCGCTGTGATGAGCCAGGCTGGAAACACGCTCCTGGGAGGGGGCCTGAGCATGGTGAGGAGCAGGTTATGGCTGTGGTGCAACCTTAGACTTAAGATAGAGGGACAATGCCAGCCCTCTAGCTCAATGGAGCCCAACAGGGTAGTGCTCATGAGTGATGTTTTGCTCCTACTCACTCTGGCTCCTATTGACTTGTATTGAAATGTAAACTCTTCTAGTTCAGTAATCTGTGGTTTAGTGCTCAATGTGATTCTGGTTTATATTTTTATTAGGGCTGTCAAAATTATTGCGTTAACTCACGTTAATTACATTTTTCATTAACGCAAGTCCGAATGACCCGCCCATTTATCCGTAATATCAATCAGAATGCTGCGTGTGAGATGCATCAGAGCAGGTAGGTCCTCTGGGAATTCAAGTTTTAAAAGAATACGCGCGCCACCGCGGGGCTGTTGTTTGCTGTGAACTGAGGTCCGCCTCCTCCGCGGCCGCTCTGACTGTGAGCCGCTCACAACAACACGGCTGTGAGCCGCTCACAACAACACGGCTGTGAGCCGCTCACAACAACACGGCTGTGAGCCGCTCACAACAACACGGCTCTGAGCGGCTGTGAGCGAAGGGCGCCGCGGTAACATGGTCATATAAGACCATACACGCCACAGAACTATTGTCTGCATGTTGTGATCGTTTCTTTGCAACCTGTGCGTAACCTGTGCACGCAAATACACTGCGGAAGTGTCCCTGTCTTTTCCTGAAACTAAACTAAACTCGCTGAATTAAAGCTGGGGTATGTAAATTTCCCCCTTTCATTAACAGCTCATGTTGGTTTTGTCCAAAAGCAAAAGGTTGTGAGCAAATCTAACAGATTTAAGTACATTTGGTATGAATGACAATGTGGTATGAATGATATTTGATAATCTCATTTAACTTATATTGGAGTGGATTTGAAATAGAATGTTAAAAAAATGCGATTAATCGTGAGTTAACTCACCATTTCTGTGCGATTAATCAACTAAAAAATTGTAATCGTTTGACAGCCCTAATTTTTATATTCTCTTTCAGACCATCCAAATATGAGCCATGTATGGATTGAACAATCAAACCTTTATTTACGGGGAAACTCCAGATTGTCTTAGCAATCATCTTAACAAAACATCTGCCCATGTCAGCTAACACTGTCGGAACAAATGTCCATATAAGGAAATTGGCACCAGCTAGCTTATGTTCAAATTGCACCTCAGCACTCAGCCCGTCCAATTGAGTAAATACACAATTTGGACTCCAGGGGCGGCAAAATCCTCTCATGTTATTAGTGGGCAAAGAAGTGTTATAACTGCTCTTGGTTTCGTTTAAATAAACGAAAGATGGTGCAGAGCAAAACGGTAGTCTTTTAAAGTGCAGATTCATGAAAAATCGGTGTCGAATAACATTAAATATGCTTAGGCACAGTGGTCACAGGAATAAGGCACAAGTAGGTGGAAGTCAACCCGGGGGCTGAAGGTGTGCTTTCAGTGCCTCTAAAAGTAGGATGCACTCATAGAAACAGTTTTATTCCTAGTATACTATTCACCCAATTTGGGTGAATACAGCTGATACAGAGTTCATTTCTTCTTGCCAGCAGCTGTCACTTCACTCTTTCTGTTTCAGGACTTGGGGCACTCGATGGCCTCTCAGTTTGGAAGCTCATCTCCCGTCACCATTGACGTGGGGTTGCTGGGCTCCAGTCAGCTGACTACAATCGACCAATCAGAGCTGAGCACGCACCTGGGGCTGGGCCTAAGTGGTGGGCCCTTGTTACCGCGGGCGACGGAGGAAAATCCCCTGTCTGCCACCGCGTCACCAACAAGCTCCCTGCATGATGACGACATGGATGACTTCAGGGTGGGTTTCCCTATTGACTCTGAAGGGAAGTTCACACTGCCGACACGGCGATGATGCGTCTTGGAGCACATTCACTTTATTGCAGCCAAATGAGTTTAGTAAATCAGACGTACTGCCCTCCGATGCCGCAAAACACAGGGCCGAAGTGGTGGGAGGGCTTTGATAAGTACATAAACCGATTAATCGATTAGTCGTAAAAATAATCGCCTGATTAATCGATTATCAAAATAATCGTTAGTTGCAGCCCTAACCGATACCGCAAATGATCATGCTAAAATGTATTTAATAATTTAACTCTTTGTTCAAGTAACTGCAAAAGCAGTGGATGAACTAAAGCGCTAAACTTGCCAGATAAAAATGGATTCAACATAAATGTGCAATACTGCAACTATAAAGAGCTGCTCAATTAAACATTCCACACATTAACTGTGTTAATAAAAACTGTGTTAACTGTGTTTGAATAAAAAAACACTTACAACAAACAAAACACGCTGCATGAAAATGTAAATAAATAATAGTACCGTAGCTTTAACTGGATTTCAGATATGTATTTGGCGACGGCATGTACCTGGGTTCCAAATGGTCTATGGGGCTGCGAGCCCAAACTGATGAACTCCAACACTTTCGGGTTGTTGCTGAAAAGCTTTTTGTGACGCTGCGTCAGTATCATCTGTGTCTCGTTGTTTTCACGTAATCTCCTTTCGATGCAAAAACTCCCCATGCTGTTTCTCGTGGTGCTTAGTCGTGTTGTATTTTGCTAGTTTACCGCCGCGTGAACAATGCTGATTCTTTCCTGCGCTCCATGCTGTGTTGTTGTTGTTGTTGTAGAGCGCCACAAGGAAGTGACGTGTACGTGAGATCTGATAAATTACTTTTAATTCATTTTATACGTATATGTACATTATGCACAATGTATTTTAAGACATTGTGCGGTACCTGGTATGTATTAAAAATATATATATAATTAAAAATTATATATATCCGTGCTGGATCTGCAGCACGGCGCCTCTCTCTACGCAGATATCCGATCCAGTATTTTTTCTGGTATCGACGCCGATATCGATACCAGTAACGGATTGGTGCATGCCTACTTTAAACCAGAGACTGTAAACAGCTTTAAAACAAAACACAGATACAGATGACCGAGTTGAGGCATTACTTTGCGATACATGAACTTCCCTGACTGTGCGCTAAGGAGAGGGAGCCGTTTGTTGCTGAATTGGAACAGGTTACTTACTATTAATGTAATAAGTAATATTTTTTATCAAAATATTTTTTAATTTATTATACAGTTACATGATAATTTTTGTTGACAGGAAATTAAAGCAAATGGGAAAGAAGCTTTTGTTCCTACTTGAACCGACTCCTCTTTGAGATTCAATGAAAAAAAGACTTTGGAAATTGGCAATTGGTATTTGCAGTTTTTGGGGGGTTATTTATTCTGTAAAAATATTGATATATATTGTATATTGAGGTAAAACATATCTTCATATCACCCAGCCCTAATGTAAACTCGACACAACGCATGGTTCGGTACAAATGGCCCTAAAAAACTTTTATGTTCTCACCCCCACGCTTCAGATGTGTGGCAACTGAAAATATAGATAAACCACATCAGAACTAACAGAACACTATTGTTCACTAATGTTTTATTTTTATTTTTTTACGAATTAAAACAGCTATACTAATTCAAATAAAATTAAATCTAACGCTAGCAAAGACACAAGTCACTATCTTTAACATAATAAAAAGCATAAAATCTCTAAATTTGGCAAAATTAGAAGCAAGTAAAAACTACTGTGTATTTTAGTGCAATTTTAGTTTTATGTTTACATCTGTACATGTTAGCAGCAGTTTGTTTACATCTGTGCGTTAGCAGCATGAGGCTCTGAGACACAGTGACCCAGTAAAGTGACAGTGACACATGTGGTTCTATCGTGCACATTCTGAGTTAAGGATATTGCACTTACGCATGACATGTGAGATCAGGTTGGCAGTGTTCGTTAGTCCTCATTGTTTGTTGTACAGTCTGAGAGCAGCAGGAAGGAAAGGCCTGCAGAACCTCTCCTTCACACATTGAGGATGAATAAGTCTGTCACTGAAACTGTTCTCCAGAGCAGCCAGAGTGTAACCTGGCTCTGCCAGACCCTTGTAGTTCCGCCATGCTCCACCAGAGGCGTTTGGCTGAACCACATGGGTCTGGTATTGACGCCATAGTGAACGCCTTCCCCAGATTATTTTTTAATCGACCAATCAGGATTGCCGGTGTTACGTGGGGTTTGCACTGCCTTCTCAAGCTTCTCTCATGCAGCAGCGAGAGGAATCCAAGATGGCGGATGGAATCCAAGTCCGCGAATCTTTTTAAAAGAGTAAATACGATCGAATTAAGGCACGGACTTCACGGTCACTTTTAATGCAATTTGAGGCGAGATGTTGATGGTTCTATGTTGATATATGTGTGTTTTAAGAGTCAAATGTTCCTGTAAAGTTTGGTTGAAGCACTGGTTCAGTGTTCCTCTTTACACACTATGCAGCAGGGTTGCCAGGTTTGGTGGTTCCCGCATATTTTTTCCAAGAGACTTGTAGGCATTAAATAAACAGTAAGACAATAAACAGAATCATGATTGCCCAAGTTGATTATATTACGTTTTTAGCCAAAAAATCATACTGAGTGTTTTTTGGTTTTTTTTGGGGGGGTATTCTCGCGGATTTTGGGTTGGAAAATCTTGCTGGAATTTGGCAACCTATGGGAGCCGTGTGCTTCGATGTGAGTGGTTGAAAGCAGACTTCATTCAAGATAACGGACAAGTGGTCTATCCAATCACATACAAGGATTTTTTTTACAGGGCCCTGCCTTCTGAAATCCAACCACTACTATGTGTGAAGTGCAGCGAACTACATGGGTCTGGCGAGAGTTAGGCTAGCCAGAGTGGGCAGCAGGGGGTGACGGTCATGGTCCAGCGTAGATGTTAGTTTGTCCATGACCCTTCTGTCCCCCACCTGCTGCACTGTGTCCAGGGAACAGCCCAGGACAGAGCTGGACTTCTTGTTGACCTTGTCCAGCTTTTTTCTGTCCCTCTGTGATGCTGCTGCTCCAGCAGACCTCACTGTACAAGATGGCTGATGCCACCACCGAGTCATAGAAGTTCTTCATGTACTATATTACATGTCATAGTAGCCCATTTTTATACATTTTAAGGTAATAATAATAATTGAACATCATGTAGGGCTGCATTTCTGGAAATGGATAGTACCACCGGCCCATATTAACTCATTGACTGCCATCTGTTTTTGATGATTTCACTGATTGTCAAGGCCCACAGAAAATTATGGGCTATGACTATGTGGAAGTTTGAAACCAGATTCTGAAAGACTAGATTGTCTTCTTTCATCAGCAAAAAAAAAAAGGTTTCTAGCTATTTTTTCACGCCCTTAATCCCCAGTCGAATAGAGGGAAGTTTCTCAGAAAATTCAGTCGATGGCAGTCAATAAGTTAAAGAATGGATGAAAGGGTCAATCAGACGTTAAAATTAATATATTTTTGTCCCTAAAAATGTTTTCACATTCTAAACATATTGCATCTTATAAATTCCCCCTCTGCAGAGCGTGCTGGTGGAGTCTCCCATCTCCCTCTCTGTCTCTCCGGGGGTTATCTCTGTGGATCCATCCCTCTCAGACCCCTCCTCGGCTGGGTACTCCTCCGTGTCGCCAGCCCCGGGACGCAGAGCTGTGGGGGGGAAGAAGCCCAAGAGGAAAAAGGACCCAAACGAGCCGCAGAAGCCAGTCTCCGCCTATGCACTCTTCTTCAGGGACACACAGGCTGCCATTAAAGGCCAGAACCCCAATGCCACGTTCGGGGAGGTGTCCAAGATTGTAGCCTCCATGTGGGACAGCCTGGCGGAGGAGCAGAAACAGGTGAGCCTTTAGGCACGGTGCAGTTAGGCATGGTGCTGTTAGGGTTGCAAAAACATTGGTTGGAAAAAACCTCTTATAGTTCATGTGACATCAGCACGTCCCAAAGAGCTTAAAGTTTAACATTATTAAACGTTTGTGGCCTAGATTCAGGAGCCCATTAAGCCATTCTCCTTCTTTGACACCTAAAGGGTTACATTTAAGGCCGTGTTTGATGGAGTTGACTATTGGATTTGCCTTACGTTCACACTGCGTCTGTGTCTCACTGGGGTGAAATCGCTAGCTTTAACCCATTAAATCCTGACACGCCTGGTAAAATAGACCTGTAAAACCTATGGCTGACTTCAGAACTACCCTCCAAAACCTGAAGTTTTCCTGAAATTCAACTAAATCATTATCTCAGCCTCTGTAGCAGATAGAAACCTAATTTCAAAATAATTTGAGAGCTCACACTTGTGGCTTTCAATAAGAATGACGTGCATTATTATAAACCTTCAGTAGAATAATGCAAAAAATATACAACTTCCACGCAGGAAAGGTAATAAAACAACCGGGTGGCATAGTGGATAGCACTCTCACCTCTCAGCAAGAAGGTTCTGTGTTCAAATCCCGGTCGGAAAGGGGCCTTTCTGAGTGGAGTTTGCATGTTCTCCCGGTGTCTGCGAAGGTTTCCTCCGGGTACTCTGGTTTCCTCTACCACTAAAAACATGTTCAGGGTGAATGAGTGTGTGTTTGTGAGTGCGAATGTGGGACAACCGATGGAAATTAGCCCATGGCTACAATCCAGAGTGATGTGTTCATTAACATGTACTGTCCCAACCAAATAAACAATAAATAAACCAAAAATAATGTGAGACTAATACATGGGAGCGACCCCGCTCCCATCTCTGTGTGGAGTGAGAGGACAAATAAACCGCTTTGTGACTGTCTGTGAAAGGCGGCATAATATCAGGGCTCTAGACTAACTTTTTTCATGACCGTCCCGACACCGTCCCGAAAACCATTTGGAATCGTCCCGAAATGGATGTGAACCGTCCCGAATTCAATATGTATTTTTTAATACATTTTCTTAATTATACATTTATTTTAAATGTATTTTTATTATTGTTTTACACAATATAGTGTGTGAATAAATGACTCATTTAACAATAATGCAATTTATTGGTAAAACATTCTTAAACAATAAATACAAATCGCGCAGACCCACTGAAATTAGAGTAAAATCATCAGAGGCCAAAACTACAGAAACAGATTCAATTCACACAGACTCGCATCATCAACTGAATAGTGTAAAACACTTGTTAATGTTAAAGGAACTAGATGCAAGTTGGCCATTTTATACTCACGACTGGCACCTCAGGTCAAATGTGTAACTGCACCATCTACATTAAGCTCGTACATGACGGCACTTGAGACCCGAATTAACACCTTTCTGAGTGACAGTGCAGGATTTTAGAGGCAGTTGTGGTGAACAGGTCTGAGCTCATTCTACATCTTAGGAGATTGCTGGAACATGTAGGGGGAGGAACATGCCTAGTTTTAACATTTTTCCACTCTGTATATTCACTGATTATTTATTGATTTATGTAAAAGAGGGTTTATAAGACGTCATACACCTCATAACACTTGTAAAGGCCAGGTTATAAGAAAAGTAGAAGTATGCCTATTCCACAATGTAAAATAAAATGTGCAGTTTAAATTTTGATAAATTAGGTACATTGGTAAATTGCCAATCCTAGCTTTATAAACATTAACTTCAAGGAGCGCTGGCTGCATGTTGTATACAGATCATGGATCTATAATAATATCGATACAAAGCTGCACATAGTCTTCCCATGAGGCCAATGGAGCGGGCAATGCGTTTCAGCTCTGTGCGCGCCTCCACAACATGCTTTTATTTCACTTTATTAACGTATCAGCCTTTACACTACCGCGTGTGGAATACAATTTGGTTCTTTCTCTGTTTGCTTTGAGTTAAATGCACAGAGCCAGAGAATGCACGGACATTATTAATGCTAGAATGTGTTGTATTAAAACACGCGCACCATGGCCACAAAAGGCCTCTGTAGTACCGCTGTTTATTGCTCCGTTTTTTATGCTAACGCTAAATAATTCGGACATTAGCAACATCTGTGCCATAATAGATATAGCTAAAGTAGCGGCGCCAGGTTTGCAATTTTGGGTAGGCCTGCAGATTAGTAAGTAGGCCAAATTCGTTCGCAAATTACAAGGGGTAGCTGGAATTGGGGTTTCAAAGAATATGGTTCAAACGCACGCACGCACACACACACGCACACGCACTCAAGCACACACATACAAACAAGCTCATTTATGAAACTTGCGTAGAAAAAGGTGTACATTTTGGGTGTATATTCCATTTACGCAAAATCCAACGTCGGATTTATGAACGTGTGAGATCCGCCCAGATCTGAGCGTACGCAGCTGCGGGTGTTGATAAATCGGCTGAATAAGAACGTATTTATGAAAGTCACGCCTAGAATTATGCAGCAATCGTGTGTTTCACGCCCCGTCTTCGCGACAGGTCAGCACGGAAGCCGGTCAAAAAGACTGTAATAATAAATATACGCTATATATTCAGCTGCGTTATGAACACATTTGCAAAAATGTTTTGATACATTAGAAAAATCTCTTGAATTGTAGAAGTGAATAAATATAGATTGATTGAATGAATGAAGCTTTTGCGATCCAGATTTTACAAAGAAACTCTGGAGCCATAACTTCTGCACATGTGGCGCGACCTCTCACGGCACTCGCTGCGCACTCTGGACAGGGCAGTGAGACATTTGGAGTGAGCAATACCGGTGCTTTAATGGGGTGTGTGTCTGTGTGAGGCTTAAACAAATTTAATGAAATAACACATTGCTTTACCAGATGTGAATGAGGAATACAAATAGCCGTGCGTAATTACGCAGCGCAGAGCCTGCCACAGCAATAGCTGGGTCACACATCCCTGTTCCGTAAAGTGTATTTATATAGAGCCTTTCACTGTCCAGGATCACAAAGCACTTCACATTTTAAAAACATCAAAATACTACAGACAGAAGTCAGATTTAATAGAGGGTCCTCATCATGAGCTGTGATTTATTCGAAGTTTGCGTGTTTCCATTAGACTTTTTCTGATGCGCAAATTCAAATTTTGAAACATGATGCTCAATGAAAACACAGGATATAATTTTGCCAGAGGGAATATGTTTATTGTTGTCCATATCTTGAATTTCATGCGTGTTTTGGCGTGTTGTGCCGAAGGTTGAGATCAGCTTATAGATTTACACCAGCTCCAGACCTGGCGTATATTTTTTGCGTATTGTACGCTCACGTCCAGATAGATAAATGCGGAAAAGTGTAATATCTTGCGTACGCCTTATTTACACCCTGATTTGTCCGTATGCAAGTTTCATACATGAGGCCCACAGTGTGTCTCACACAGGCCTAGAGTTTACCTCATCAGTGCGAGGCGAGCCTGGCCGCGCTCTCCTCCTCTGAGACCTACGGGCCCGGGCCTCTGGCTACTCTGCCTCACAAAGTTCACGCTGAAATTTCTTAAAACTAAAATGAAAAAGGCTGCTCTGTTGTGAATGTTTTGAGAGCGTTGTCAATCTTTAAAACGAGGAATAGCTGGTTGTTCTCGGGATTGAGCTTCGCGCTGTGTGATATACGTGGTCAAACTGGGTCTGCGCAGAGAACGGAGAAGCGGGAAAATGTTCGCCCATGATTCCGCGTCAATTAAGAGCAGAACAGAATTCCCTGAGCGGGAGCTCTCGCTCTTTAATATGGAACAGGGGGAGCATTAGCACTCGCTTACATAAATATATTGCCTATTTTAAAAAGAAAAATTGGTTAAAGGCTTTCCGTCCCGAGACCGTCCCGGGGAGGATTTCATCTCGTCCCGTGCATTTTTTTTCCCGTCCCCGGGACGATGGGACTATGTTAGTCTCGAGCCATAAAGATTACTTGCTTACTTACTTGTTTCTCAATACAATAAGTCAAAAAGAGTTTGGCAATAAAGTGGCACTAACTGTATAAAAAAAAAAAAAAAAAAAAATCCACTCTCAGCCCAAAAAAGGCAAATAAGGACTCGCAGGGCTCTTTTTTTAAGTAAGCAAAGACTGTTGTGGTTTGTTTTGTTTGATTTGTTCACATTTTACTTTTGCGCACAAATAGCATGCATTGTCAATGCAAGAGAAAATGTAGATACCTGAGCTTTAATTCAGTGAATTTTGGCTGAGCTTCGTGAGGAGACTTGGGGGAGACGGGGGCGAGGCATGGGGAGGAGAAAGGGGAGATGGGCAAGACCTGCACGTGCAACAAATTGGGGATGATCCTGATCACGCGTGTATGATTCTGTCTGCTCGTCTATGGTCCGCGGTACTTGACCACGTTACGGCTGCGCGTTCACTGAGCTGTGTCAGAGTGGCCACAGTTTCTCCCGGGGTCAGAACGGAGGATATTAATCCTGTTCAAGTACGTAACGCAAACCACTGCCCGTTGTCACACATTTCACAGAAATTATATTTTCAGCAAGAAAAAGTCGGAATTCGCGGACCCGCAGATAATTCTCATCACAGCTATATCTTGATGCATTTCATTGGTCAAGAGAATTGATAAATGAAGAGAGTAGGTCAAAAAAAGAAAAAAAGACGTGTCATCTTTCCCGGCCTTAAAGGTAGAAGTGCGCAACAGCGCTCCCGACTTGAAAGGTAGAAATGCAGGAATGCGTTCCCGGCCTCAATGGGTTAAAAAACGTCCTCCAAACTGCCACGGAGCGCCACAAAATGGTTGCGCACACGGGGGCTTATTGCAGCCATGTGAACATAAAGGTACAAACTCTCTGGCTGCAATGACCTGACAACTTCCCCCTCCCCCATACATTTGTATATTATCTATCTATGCCAAATGTGACATGTACATTTCTCCAGTGTGAGATCAACAAAGTCTATCTTATTGTTTTGTACTTTCTACTCCAGCTTGAATTCATTATGAAATACTAATGAAAATTTGTTGGTGGTTTTCTGGTAAAAGTTGTACATGTTGAAATTAACAGCTGCTGTGACTTTTTACAGGTTTACAAAAGGAAAAATGAAATCGCTAAGAAGGAGTACTTGAAGGCTCTGGCCGAGTACAGGGCAAGCCAGCTGAACGCCACACCTATCGAGGTGATGGACACGTCACCCTCCCCCTCTCCGCCTGACCCCGCTCCTCCTCCTCCAATCACAGCAACAACAGTGCGCACCACTCGCTCCCAGCAGTACAACCCTGAGGAGAACACCATCACCAACATTTGCGCCTCCAACATCATCGTGGACCTGCCCCAAGTCACCACACGATCTAGGACAGGAGCCATCAAGCCCACACCGCTGCCCCCAGACTCACCCACGTCCGAGCCTGAAGACACGCCCACCGGTGAGTATACACATACCGCATACAGGGTTTTGCTGAAGTAGTATAAAAGTATATAGCCCTGGCCCTGTGATGTCACTATTTGACGTTTTTTGCTGAGCAAGGGTGGTCCTCTCTTTTTCACTTTTCTGTCTGAAGAAACTGATCTAAATATGAGGCCCGAAACTTGTTGGACTTAGTTCTATTTTTTTGTTAAATGAAGTACCCTAGCTTTAATTAAATTGTTTAATATTCTGAATTATAAAACCAAAGTATTGCCAAAGTATGTATTCCCAAGATCCTGACCAAAAAGCTCTTTACAGCTGGAGTGCAGTAAGTAAGTAAGTGATCTTTATTTATTTTGCACATTTCACAGACCAGGGTCACCTAAAGCTCTTCAAAATAACTTTGCAACCACAAAAAATAGACTATGTAAGAAAATCCATATCACAAGCTCTAGAAACCATTTGGTTCATCACTTGCTTTCAGTTTCACTTGCATTTTTTTGCAAGTTTTTGGACCCCTGTCACATTTTAGAGAAAATATAGGAAAAGATAGGAACGCTCAGTTGAGCTTTCTGTGTGTAAAAGATGACATATTTTCTAATAAGTAGAATGTAGCGTGCTGTGGTCTGATTTTCTGTTGGGACAAATGTATTTATGAAACCAAAAATCAGGTACTCCAGCTTTAATCATGTATTTGTTTATTTGAATGGCTAGTTCTGACAGCTGCTCCTCTTTGTTCAGTGACTAAAATCATCATCAAGTCTACTCCGCTGCCTTCTGGTGGCGTGTCCGTCACAGCGTCGCCCGCTCCATCCACTCGACAGCCGCCTCCGCTCAGCGCCCCGCCTCCCCCACGACTGGCCCCACCCACTCTGCAGACTCCGCCCCCTCCACTGCAGGCCAAACCCAGAGGGACGGGGACGGCGGTCGCTGCAGCCAAAGCCCCGCCTCCACTGCAGATTAAACAAATCAAAGTGGTACTACGGCCAGATGCAGTCGCTGTTGTGAAGAGGGAGGAGCCTGTGGCGCTGGAGGTGGGAGGGGGCGCAGCAGTGAAGGGCGAGGCAGAAGAGGGGGTGAGTTTGTGCACTGTTTGTGATGTCTGTCTGTGGTGTTGTTGGTGAGTAACGTGCTGTGTTGTGTCAGATGGAGGTAGAAGTGACCGTGGCTCCTGGCCCCACAGCGCCCCCTAGCATCAGCCCCAGTGTCTGTGTCAGAGCAGGCTGCACAAACAGAGCAGTGGAGAGTCAGGACTGGGACCGGGAGTACTGCAGCAACGAGTGTGTGGCCACGCACTGCCGGTACGGACACACACGCCTCATTTTATTGGTCATGTTCTATTCTCCTCATACAAAGTTATGGAAGTCCCGCAGGAACATTGAGAAAAATGTACTTTTAGCTTCCCCTGCTGTATGCAAGAACCAGTGGAAATCATGCAGTGCTCACACGCAGCTGTAACTGTGAGGACCATGTGGATCTGCGGAAGAACTGTGGCGGCAGTTTCTGCGAACTTTAAAAAACCACAGTGGCTAAATGATTCTAGAACTAGAGGCGCCAAATGTAGCCGTACTTTAGCCGGCAATGAAACCAAACCGTTTAAGGCCAGTGTAGGGCTGGATGATATAAACGGTATAAGCTGTATGCAATTAAGATTTGGCACACGATAGAGATTTTTGTTATACAGGCATATTGCGATAGGTCATTATGTCATTAAATGGTGGGACGGTGCCGATTGGCTAAAGCTAGCGCCGGCTCTGACCGCAGGGGAAAGCACCAAAACAACAGACATTAGCCCAGCAGCATGAGCCTTTGTTACAGCATTTGTCTCTTTTTTAAAATGTTTTATGACTAATAAGCATGCATTAAGTCCTTAACCAGCCAAAGAGTTCCACCTGTTTATGTAATTTCATTTTTGACTAAAGATTTTTTTATTTTTATATGTAGTCAATAAATTAAGTTCTAAAAACTGATTATGAAATTCCATGGTTCCTGTGTGGATTGAAATTAGGACTACAAAGTGCTCAACCCGATCCACCCAAATGGTGTCCCTTATTTTTCTGTTCTCAAGTTGGCAACCCTACCCACTATCCACAGGGTCTTCAGTTCAATCTGCATTTCAAAAGCAAGGGGTCTCTTTAATATGGAATAATATACGCTAAAAATGTATTAAATACTGGATGAAATACAACTTATTCACCAACACAGATCAGAGAATCAACAGTTAAGACACAAAAAATAAACACATGAATTGGTCCATAAGGAGAGACCAAGGTGATAAATGATAAATGTCCATACATGTTGTAGAATGTTAGTGTCCTGGATCAGGGGTGGCCAACCAGTCAGAGACTAAGAGCCAATTTTTTTTACTGTGTTACAGCAAATAGCCACATCATACAAATGTGCACTACATAAATATCACCCCATCCCTTACACACGTACGCACACGAGCACACAGGCGCACACACATGCACACACATGCAATCTGTCTGAGCAGAGAGAGGTCTGCTCTGCTCAGACAGATTTATTGTAAATGTCATCAACATGATAATGACAGAAATTGACTCGTACAGTACTAAAGGGCTGGACTCGACTCTCCCCGGTTTGCGGGTGCTTCCACCGCTCGCTTCAGCCGCTCCCCGGTACTTTTTATTAATGGTTTGGCCCTGGCTCTAACCGGGCGAGTCGATACCAGAACAATCTCACGTCAGCGAATATCAATTATGATTCCGAAATGAATGCTTTCAATCTCTAACCAAGAAAAAAAGATCAAGTTTCAACCCAGTGTTCAGCAGAAACACAACTGTCTTTATCGAACCATGATTCACTCTCTGACTGCGTTTAGTAAAAGATATAGATGTGACACATAACACCAACACCACTTTAGCTGATTTAGAACCACAGACACATGTTCAGTATAAGACCAGATACTTTTGCATTTGATTGAAGACAGACACTCACCAGGCAGAGTTGAGGCTTATCTCCTGGTGTAGCTGGTGTTAGCTGGTTTTAGCGTGTTAGCTGGTTTTAGCATGTTAGCTGATTTTAGCATGTTAGCCGGTGTAAGCCGATGTCCGTAAATGTAATCCATTTGGTCAAACCACCTCCAGACTTTTCGGGTCTGCCTCTACTTCTGCTGCTGTGATCTTTCATTTCACGGTTGTCACTTTTAAGCTTTTTAACTTTTCTCTGCATTGTGATGTGGAATTATTCTGCTCTGTCCTTAGCGCTACCTCCACAAACACCTTCTGGTTTCTGGTGGAACCATCAAGCTCACGCTGGTGTCCTCTCCTCAAACTGAGGAAGGTGTTGCCCTCATCCAGCGACCAAGGAACTGTTTTCCGTACGGACGTCATGGGTCGAGGCAACCTGTTTGTTATGATGTTTGCAACAGCTGAGGCAGCAGCTGCAGAGTGACTGACCAATCAGAATTTACGTTCGCCGACGTCAGATTGTTTTGGCGGCCCGGCTAGTGGAGTGAAGTCGGCCTTTACTATGGGTCAGAACTACATAGAGAATGAATGGCAGGGCCACCACCGAGGCGTTTTTGACGCTTGTCGTGTGAAAGCCTGAGGGCCGCACGGAACCAGCCAAAGAGCCACATGCGGCTCACGAGCCGCGGGTTGGCCACCCCTGTCCTGGATCATCACCACAGTCCTTCTAGTTGCACACTAACTGCCCAACAGACCCTCCTGCATCGGCAAGGAAATACTCACAAAAACCCAGTGGGAAAGAAAGTGAGAAACCTCGGGGAGACCCACATATTGAGAAAGAGATCCGCTCCTACACGGACGGATGGGCTAATGATCCAGGACCTAAGCTACAGAACGAGGACCAATGCCACGCAGCGGCCGCAGAGCGTGGAAAGGTCCAGTGCAGGACTGAAGCGCTCCCAGGCGGGTTTTGCCGGACAGTTTGCAGGTGCAGATGAAGAGGGCCGGTTCAGAGGTACCGTTGTCGCGCCAAAATCTTAATAATGCAGACAGGTGCAGGACTGAAGCGCTCCCAGGCGAGTCGGGCAGGGCTGTCTGCAGGTGTAGATAGAGGAGGCCAGGTTCAGCTGTCCCGTTGTCGCGCCATAAAACAGACAATGGGACAACGGGTGAATAGCAATGAACACACTACAGTCAATATCTTAATAATGCAGATAGAGTAGGAAGGAGGAGAGGATAATGCTTGAGTTACATGTACATGTATCAGGGATATTGATACATGTAATTTTTTTCATTAATCGCGTTAAAACAATTAACGCTTTTAACGCCAAGTGACCCACCCCGCTCTCGTGTGACCGGGGAGCAATTGCTGTGAATGGGAATCCGCAGCGTTCTGGGGCAGCTGCGGCCGCTTTGGACAGCGGTTCCCGCGTCCTGCAGCTGTGAGCGGCTTTCAACAGCACGGGAGCGTGCAGCCGTACGTGGCCATGTACCCAATGCCATATACAGTGCCTTGCGAAAGTATTTGGCCCCCTTGAACCTTTCAACATTTCGCCACATTTCAGGCTTCAAACATAAAGATATAAAATTTTAATTTTTTGTAATGAATCAACAAGTGGGACACAATCATGAAGTGGAACGAAATTTATTGGATAATTTAAACTTTTTTAACAAATAAAAAACTGAAAAGTGGGGCGTGCAATATTATTCGGCCCTTTTACTTTCAGTGCAGCAAACTCACTCCAGAAGTTCAGTGAGGATCTTTGAATGATCCAATGTTGTCCTAAATGACTGATGATGATAAATAGAATGCACCTGTGTGTAATCAAGTCTCCGTATAAATGCACCTGCTCTTTGATAGTCTCAGGGTTCTGTTTAAAGCGCAGAGAGAACCATGAAGACAAAGGAACACACCAGGCAGGTCCGAGATACTGTTGTGGAGAAGTTTACAGCCGGATTTGGATACAAAAAGATTTCCCAAGCTTTAAACATCTCAAGGAGCACTGTGCAAGCAATTATATTGAAATGGAAGGAGTATCAGACCACTGCAAATCTACCAAGACCCGGCCGTCCCTCCAAACTTTCATCTCAAACAAGGAGAAGACTGATCAGAGATGTAGCCAAGAGGCCCATGATCGCTCTGGATGAACTGCAGATAACTACAGCTGAGGTGGGGATGGTGTGTTCAGGGTGATGAGCTGTGTTGCTTTTACGCCAAACATCGTTTTGCATTGTAGTCAAAAAGTTCGATTTTGGTTTCATCTGACCAGTGCACCACCTTCCACATGTTTGGTGTGTCTCCCAGGTGGCTTGTGGCAAACTTTAAAAGAGACTTTTTATGGATATCTTTGAGAAATGGCTTTCTTCTTGCCACTCTTCCATAAAGGCCAGATTTGTGCAGTGCACAACTGATTGTTGTCCTATGGACAGACTCTCCCACCTCAGCTGTAGTTATCTGCAGTTCATCCAGAGTGATCATGGGCCTCTTGGCTGCATCTCTGATCAGTCTTCTCCTTATTTGAGATGAAAGTTTGGAGGGACGGCCGGGTCTTGGTAGATTTGCAGTGGTCTGATACTCCTTCCATTTCAATATAATTGCTTGCACAGTGCTCCTTGAGATGTTTAAAGCTTGGGAAATATGTTTGTATCCAAATCCGGCTTTAAACTTCTCGACAACAGTATCTTGGACCTGCCTGGTGTGTTCCTTTGTCTTCATGGTTCTCTCTGCGCTTTAAACAGAACCCTGAGACTATCAAAGAGCAGGTGCATTTATACGGAGACTTGATTACACACTGTACACGCACAGGACCACTGGGTGCACTGGTCACGCACAGGACGCACAATAAAAACAGCGGTTCAAGAAACAGTCCGTCTCCCCCTAGTCTTCTCCCGAAGCGAACAAAAGACGGTAAATTAAAGCTGGGGTACCTAACTTTTCCTTTGCACTACCATTTCATGTTGTTTTTGCCCAAATTGAAATGTGGTGAGCAAATCAAACAGATTTAATGACAGCCATGCATTTCAGACTTTTTTCAAATGTCCCATTCTCATCCCTTTTAACAAACAATAGTTTGTAAAGGCACAATAATGAGGAGAATCCACAGCCTTTATGAGACAGAAGAAGAGGAGGCTTTAGCAGATGCGGAATATGTAGAGCTGAAAAAATAGTGTCTACTACAGAAAGACAGAATGTTAATGCCATTTTATGTGGATTTATTGTTATAATAAACAAATACAGTACATATGTACACTATGTCATCATTTATCTTTCCATTCAAACAACCATTTACAAAAAAATATGGCATCCTTTTTCCGATTTGAGTTCGAGTTCGAAATGCGATTAATTACGATTAATTAATTTTTAAGCTGTA